ATTACAAAGATAATTAGGAGCAAGCCCATGTCGACACTTAAAAACCATTGTTGCACGTGCCATTTGTTGCTGGCAATCTAGGGTTTTCCAGCCCAGAATTTTAAAAAGATTGTCAGCGCTGGCATCGTAGCTTGAATGGGTCAAGACACGGGCTGCTCTATTTTGTAGTTTCTGCAATTTATTATGTAGAGTAGTACCACAATTGCCCCAAACGACATTACAATAGTCAAAGTGCGGCTGGACTAGGGCGTGATAAATTTTTTGCAAAGTTAGTTGAGGAACAAGGTGTCTTACTCGCTTAATGGCCCCAATTCCTGAAGCAATTTTCTTGGTTAGTTTATCAATATGGTCACTCCAAGTTAAATTGCTATCAATGTATACTCCAAGTGATTTCGTACTTGTTACTTGGTCTATTGAAGAACCATTGATTTCAGGCTTGGGGAGATTTGTAAGAGTAGACAACCTTTGCCTTGAGCCTATCAACATGAATTCGGTTTTTGTCGTATTTAGAGTAAGTTTATTTGCTTTAAGCCAATTCGTAACGTTCTCCAAATCATGATTTAAACTTGATTGAATATCATCAGTATCAATGCCCGCGTATGTTAGATGCGTATCATCAGCGTACATTCTAGGTTGACAATGCAATAAACAGTTCGGTAAATCATTGATGTATAATAAAAACAGCAAAGGTCCTAGAATCGTCCCCTGGGGAACGCCACAATTTAGCAGACAAGGTTTAGAAAGTGAACCGTTAATGGAACACTTCTGTTGGCGCTTATCCAAATACGACATAAACCAGTCATAGCAATTGTTATGTATGCCGTAATTATATAGTTTTGATAAAAGGATCTCATGATTGACCGTATCAAATGCCTTTTTTAGATCAAGGAAAACAACAGAGTTAACTTTTCCTTTATCAATATTGTAAGCCCAAGTATCCGTTGCCTCCAATAGAGCTGTGACGGTCGAGTGCAGACTTCGAAAACCTGATTGGTATTTGCATATCAAATCATGATTTGTTAGATAACAATACAACTGGTCATACACAATCCTTTCAAACACCTTTGCTACAACTGAGACAACGGATATTGGTCGATAATTGTTAAGGTCGTCACGATCTCCTTGTTTGAATAATGGAGTTACTCGTGCACATTTCCAATCGTCAGGAAAAATGCCGAGAGCCAGTGACTTATTAAAAATGTCACAAAGCGAAGTGCAAATAAGATCGGCGCATTCGCGGATAAGCCTGGCAGATATCTTGTCAAGGCCCGTAGCCTTTGATTTTTGTAACTTATTAAGAAGTAAAAGAACTTGATTGCTAGAAGTTTTGCAAAACTGAAACCTTTTATCGGTGCTAGTGAGGTAATCTAGATGGTTATAATTATCTGAAGATGGAATATCACTAGCTAGTTTCGCGCCGATGTTGGCAAAATGGTTATTGAATTTATCCGCCAAATCTGTGGGGTTTGATATTAAGCACCCATTAACTTTAAGCTCTTTCACTGATATTTTCCCTGATTTTCTGGAAGTAAGTTCATTGATTGTCTGCCATGTCTTCCGAGAATCACCTTTTACCTCGTTCAAAGTATTTTGATAGTAATGTTGTTTAGATAGTCTTATCTCTTTATTGACTAAATTTCGTTGTCTTTTAAAGAGTGCCCAATCGGAAGGGTCATTAGATCTTATTGCTTTATATTTTAAAATATCTCTGTGGTGTATGATTTTCTTCAGCTCCGAGGTAATCCACGGGGAACCACGCGCACGAACACGCGTGTTTCTCAGTGGAGCATGCTTGTCTACAATAGTTATAAATAACTTTTTCCATTCAAGCCACATACGGTTAGGATCATTAAAATTGTTTATATGATCCCAGTTCACAGATGCAATGTCGCTGCGAAAATTATCTCGATTGAAATTACGGAAATTCCTATATGTTAAATTAGTATGTCCTCTATTTAATCCTCCAATAGATAGCTTTCTGTATGCGTACACTAAGCTATGATCACTAATACCAATATTTCGGACTCCAGAGCATACAACATTATCAGTATTATTTGTGAATATCAAATCAATCAGAGTAGAAGAAGTTTCAGTGATTCTTGTCGGCTCAGTAATAAGTTGTTGGAGACCGTAAATATCAGTAATATTCATTAAATTACGCGCATTGTTGTCACACTGGGGCGCGGCCAAATTACAATTTAGATCTCCCAAAAGGTAATACTCAATATTTAGAGAATCGAGCTTCCCAATGAGTGTTTCAAAGTGCGTAAAAATTGAGACTAAAGAGTCCGGTGGTCGGTACCAAGTAACAACAATGAACGGCTTAGATCGAGGTTTACGGATTTCTAAGCAGATATTTTCTAAATTATCTATGCTAAGGTCATAGCGTATAGAATAACTTATCGAGCTTTTAACATAGAAGCATACACCTCCGCCACCATTTATGTTTCTATCTCGTCTGATAATATCATAGCCTGCAATATTGACAGCGCTATCGGCGTCTATTTCATTAAGTTTGGTTTCGTTAATCGAGAGAACATCTATATAATTGAAAGCTAAATAAGTTCGAAGCTCGTCAATATGAGCAAGGAGGCCATTGATATTTAGTGAGGCTAGTTTAAAACCACGTTTTGATGGCAATGCTACTGGATCGGACATATTAAATAATTCATCGACATCATTTTGACTAGAAGCGAATACCTTGGCATTGCAATTAAAAGGCACTGCATTCATGGATTGGTCTAATTTTCAATTACTTAAAAAAGTACAAAAGTTRTCAAAGAAGCGCTTGTTACCCTCTGGATTCAGATGAAGTCCCCCCCGGTTTAGATCTCTGTATGAAATATTGGAATGTTCGATAAAGTTCCATTCATTCTGGTTGCAGAATCTTTTCAGAAGTTTGTTAGCCTCCGAGAYCTTTTCATTAAGCTTACCTCTTCTGGTTACAAGTGCCGAGATGGTGACTTGGGCTTTAGATGATCCCTCAATCTGTCTAGCAAGATCCACAATGTCATCAGCGACTTCTTGAGAGGAATTTGCTTTAAGATCATTTGTCCCGATATGTAGTACGACTTCATCGGGTTCCAACTCTAGGTTTGGCTTTAGATAGTGCTTCATCGCCTTAGTTGTGGCTCCAGGAAATGGTTTAACTAAAACTCGGTGACCAACTGTTTTACCCAGATCCATGCCCTTGATGTTCTGTATCATGGAGTCACCAATTAACAGTGTTGAAAACTGTTTGTTTTGACCACTGTCAGAGTTGTCTGTGGTACCAGAATTGGATTTATTTGGAGGAATCTGCTGCTTTCTGGTGGTWTCTGCTTGACGCTGTGGTTGTTTCTCGCTTTTTTTGGTAGGTCGCTTACTCTTCTTWCTCTTCTTTTGAATAGTGGGCTCATCAAGAATTTCAATAGACTTATTGTTATCTTCATTAGAAGTTGGATGAAGTCTACTGTCTTCTTTAGAATTAATGTATGGAGGAATGTCCCTTGCAAGTAATTTCAGCACCAAGAGAAGAGATTTGTTTTCATCCTTCAAAGAGCTTATTTCAGATTCATATTCGTGGCATTTCGGAATAAAAACCTGTTTGACTTTAGACTTCAAGTTTTGTAGTTCAAGTTGTAATTCCTCAATCCGAGTAACAAGATTAGTTTCGGTTGGTGAGTCAGAAAGAACACANAGCTTCAATGGAAACCATGTACATAAATGTCTGGAGGTTTGTGAAGAATTTTAAACTTCATGTATTAAATACAATGGTTACCTACATTTACTGTACATGACTTTTACACATACAAGAACTTTAATTTGCTGTTGTTTTTATGCATGTTGGTCATTCATTTTAAGAAAAAAAGCATCAAGTTACTAGCAGGAGTAGCACTAGAAGTGCAAAAGAACATTGGTGTTGACATAGTAGACAAAGCTGAGATGGTCAATGACCAATTCACAGAAGTATTGACATCATATAGTCATGTGCACAAGGCCATCAACAAAACCAATAAACTTAGTGAACAAGAAATAACAACACTAGGTATGTTAAAAATACCTAAAATTGAYTAAATTTCAAAACGAATTCAAGCCTCATGGACACTTATTTATAATTTTTTATATCGGTGACTATTAAAACACTTAAAGCATACATGAAGCAGAACTCCTATCTAATTGCCCCTACTGTAAACTGTTTTTGTACATTTTAGACTCCAACATTAAAGCATTCCTGGCGTTTTATCGACATTTTTTCCCTGATTCAACCATYTTYCCAAAGCTTCATTTTTTGGAGGACCACATGATAACATGGGTGCAAAAATATAAAACAGGGACTGGTCTACTCGGGGAACAGGGCATTGAATCCATACACCACGAGTTCAATGAGTTGCATCGTACATACTCGTGCATCCGTAATAAGGTCGACAAAGTAAAATGTGTCATGGAGGAACATCACAGGAGATGCAACCCTGAGAACATCAACAAAGTACCCCCCAAACCAAAGAGAAAGAAGTACAAAAAACACCGCCCTGAAGAATGTGAGTACATACATTCACACGAAGCATTATCACCTTGCTTATCTATTAAGTACTTTAATTCTTTGACAAAAAAAGCTTAATTAATTCAAAGAAACATACATGTAATCTTATATCATTGTTTTTAAAATTTAAACTTCTTTATTTTCATCTTTTCCTCTTTCCTTTTCTTTTCCTCAACTAATCTCTTTTTAAGTTCTTCCCTTCTTTGAAGTTCTCTTCTTTCTTGGGCCTTTTTCTCTTCCTCAGTTCTAGTAACAAATATTGTCTTAATACAAATAAACATGTATGTTATTACACCTACTTCATATTTACTCAACTCATAATAATAGTATTCAAAATCAAAATCTTACAATTTTCTATCGTCGTATTCAATACTTTGGGGTTTAGGTCTCTTCCTAAAACAATAGGAAACGAAAAAATTAAGTCTTAAATCATTTAAAGCTTATTTTCTTTTTCTCTTTTCAGGAATAATAAATGGCAAAGCTAMATGTAAAGTTGTACATACCTTGCTCTCACAAGTTTTCTAAAGCCCCTCATTTTCTTTGACGACTCCATGGGTTCAATCGACGAGTTTAAAAACAATCAGATATTTTTATCGCTAGCTAGAGGCGGGAAACCTTGACGCGCGCGTATGCCCTAGCGAAACTTGGCGGGAAAAAATAGAACGAATAATCGTAATTTGTAAATTTACAATACCTCTCTATAAAAAAAGGTTAGTTAAACAACCAGTGCACATACTGAATCAACAATAATCATTGTAAATAGTAAAGACTTACCTAAGATTGTGAAAACTTCCGATCTTGACAAAAGCTTTGTGTTTTTTGGCTGTACTGGAAATAGTTTTCAAAGATGCCATTTTCGTGCACGAGTGAATTCTTGGCTCTAACACAGCCTTTTCTTTCTTGGAAATCACTATAAACCATTCTAAGTGACTCCTTAATACCATCTTAAGTGATTTTAAGAAGCATAATGAAACCACTTCATTCAAAACGACTTCAAACGAGTGATTTTACAACGCACGCTTTCTTCAACACGGCGGCCATTTTGGAAAGCCTCGTTTATCATGTTGACTGACCGAGTATGCGCGCGCAAACGGGAGTCTGGAACCTAATGTCCACTATTTCTTCGAGCGAAACAGCCGTGGCCAATCAGATCTTTGTATCATACAGGATTCTGATTGGTCAGAAAAAGAGAAGGTGAAAAGGTCAATATCACACTTTGTTTTCAAATAGGTAAGTTTTACATTCTAACCAATAACAATTCTGATCCTCATAGGTGACAAGTCGGTGAAATTTGCATTATATAAGGAACGGTCCACCACTTACTCAACGTCTGTACACAGTGAGAGCACATTCAAAACAGTACTAAAGGGACTCAACAAACAATGACTTCCTCCAAGCGACCCAACTCGGATAGTATCATTGGGTACGTTCATAATCTCTCGCCCGTCAAAAGAAACAGAACCAACACGATGAATTACGCCACGTTAACTTTGCAAACTTCAAAAACAGAATCACGTGAAGCTCTTCTCTATTCGCCACAAAAGCGACCGCTTTTCGCCGAGAAAAACGAAAGCAGGACGCCCATAAAATTACAGCAGTTCACATATACCACCGATAGAAAGATCATCGTAAACGACATGACCTGTATCTCAACGCCAAGCCAGTCAGAGTACGATTTTCAGTATGCAGAGTTATTACCGGACATTCACCAACAT